AGGACCATTTCGTTATTTTTTGGTCCTTATTGATGCATCAAATAAACAATCACATGTTTCATTATTATCAACTCGAAACATGGTGTTTGCCAATCTTATATCTATGCTTATTAGCTTTCGGGCACATTTTCTAGATTATCCTATAAAAACATTGCGTATGAATAATGCAAAAGAATTCGCATCAAAATCTTTTAAAGACTATTGTATTGCAACAGGAACCGAGTTGACATATTGTGTTCCATATGAACATGCTCAAAATGGACTTACAGAGTCATTTATAAAGCGTATACAATTCATTACCCGACCACTCCTCCTTTACGCAAATCTACCTGCATCTATGAGGAGTCATGCACTTTTACATGCTGTAGCATTAATATGCCTCTGCCTTTCTTCTCTTGAAATTGTTTCACCATATGAGCTCATTTCGGATCATGTTCCACATATATCTCACTTACAAGTATTTGGTTGCCATGCTTGGATTCCAAAACCAAAACCTCAATGGCGTACCATTAGAACTCATCGACAAGAAGGCATATATGTTGGTTTTGATTCACCAAGCATTATTTGTATTGTTGATCTATCAAGTGGCACATTATTACGTGCACGTTTGTAAAATTGCCGTTTTGAAGAAAATATATTCTCATCTCTTCAAGGAGGAGTATCCAATCAACAAAGAAATAAAGTATTCATATTTGAAGCACCAAAAACGTTTACAATGAATCTCGATCCTAGGACATCTTTGATAGAAACTGAAGTTGCTAAGATTTTGTATTTAAAATTGATCGCAGATGAAATACTTGATGGCTTCAATGATGCACCTAGAATAACAAGAGTTCCTATTAATGAGGCTCAGAATGCACCTGCTCAGATTGTAGTGCCATTGACTACAATACCTCAAGTTATAACAACAACAATTGAAAGAACTCGTGGACTAGATAAGCAACCACGTAAGAAGAAAGCTATAAAATTGACTAATCTTGATATTATTTCTCAAGAAATTGCCACACATCTTGAAGGACTATCAATTCATGATGATATATCCATGCATAATGTACCTTCAATTCCTATGAAAAAAAATCTTGGAATTGGAAGGAATAAAAATAAGTTGAGTAAAGAATTATCTATTCAATATTGTGCTACAGATGATATTTGAGACAGACCATCTATTATGGTAGATGAATCATTTGCATATATGATTATAGAAGCCCTTTCTTGTAAGGAAGACGATCCTCAACCTCAAACCATCAAAGAGGCGATACGTCGCTCAAATTGGTCAAAATAGAATACTGTTATTGAGGAGGAATATGCCTCTTTGCGTAAGAGAAAAGTCTTTGGTCCAATTGTAGATACTCTTACATCTCACCCTGTGGAATATAAAATGGTATTAATATGTAAACAAGATGCTTAAGGCCAAATAATCCACTATAAAGCTCATCTTGTTGCTCTAGGATTTACTCAACGATTTGGCATTAATTATGAATCCACATATTCTCCAATCATGGATTCAATTACATTTCGATATATTATTAGAATAACAGTTTATGCCACCCTTGAGATGCATCTGATAGATGTAGTAATTGCATATCTATATGGTTCTCTTGATGCAAATATTTATATAAAAGTTCTACCTGGCTTAAAAACAAGAATTTCAAATTGACCCTTTGTCATATGGCATGATTTGCTATTTGGGAATACACTAGGTATCTAGCTGTAGAGAGTGTAACTTAAACCTTTATATGAATCTTGTGTTAGCCTCCCAAAAATCCTTTATTTTGCATAAAACTCAAAATATAACAAAACCCCTTCAAAACATATTTTTCCCCCAAAGGATTTTTTTGTCCCTAACTTTAGAAAATCATAACTCTTGATCTAATCATTCAACTTGTCTCAAATTTACAAGATAGTTAGAATTTATCCTTAAATTTTATCACAAAAAACACCAACTGCAAATTCACTCGTGAACTTTTGGCATCTAAGAAACCCTAGCAAATACTCTAAACCCTAATTTACAAGCACCCGAACACTATTTTCTTAATATTTCAAGAATCCAATACTCAAATGTCATAAAACTTATGCACAAAGTTTACTAACATAAAATTACACATTCTTTGAAATTTTGAGCCAAAACCTTGTCAAATTGCTCAAGATATAGCTCAAGAGACAACCACTAGCAAATCGGGTTACTTACTACCCTTAGATTGCATGCGCTAACTTCAAAATCCAATAACTCCTTCACTTCAACTTGAAATCCAATAAGTAATATAAAGTGTAGCCACAAAAGTGCTCTCTCTAGTCAAGGTCGCCGATCCTCAATTGCTATTCGTATGCATGTGTTATGCCAAAAAGAGTGACAGTAGCTTCCAAATCAACACCTTAACTTTGAGCGCTTGTATCTCCTTCATATAAACTCCAAACTATACAAAACTTGCACCAAAACCATAGCCAAAAACCTAAACCTTGTGACCCAAGCCTTCAAAACTCGAATGGCCTCGAGAAACTAGCCCTAATCCCTAATATGGCCTTAGGCAGCCTCCTTAAAGCCTATTGGTCATGATTTTTGACCAATAGGAATGGAGATTTTCATCATTCATCTCCATTCATCTATATTGTGCCTTAATTACTCCTTTTGCTACCAAAACCCTTCTTCAATGCTTTTTCTTATAAGATTTACATAATTTTTTCTAAATACCAAATAAAAGAACCAAAATAAGTTTTCAAAGGTCACCAATGTCTAATAAAGGTGACTCTAAATATTTAGAAGTTACTATCAACCAAAACCAATCTTAAAAGCCACTTTCAAAAGGAAATTAAAGTTATACAAATTCTATAGTAATCTTTTTAAACAACCTCTTAAGAAAGTAATAATCAAATTATATTCTACAACCAACTAAAATCTATTAACATGGCTTTCACCATGTTACTTAATAAATTATATATTAAGTATATAATTACATTATGTTCATATAGTAGCCGAACCACAACACGATACTGCTCTAGAAAAATATCGTGGTATTAAATTATGTAAGGCCTTGTATGGTTTAAAACAATCCAGACGCATGTGGTATCTTCAAGATTATTTAATTAAAAATAATTTTATAAGTGATCCACTAATCCCTTGTTTGTTTATCAAACGAGATATAACTGATTTTGTGAACATCACTGTATATGTTGATGATCTTAAGGTAGTGGGCACTACATTTGCATGTGTTACAGCTACAAACCTACTTATACGTGAATTTGAGATGAAAATGGTAGGAAAAATAACTTTCTACATTGGAATTCACATTATGCATCTAACAGATGCTAGCATTTTTCTCTACTAACTAACATATATTAGACAAATCTTGCGAAGATTTAATATGATTGATGCTTATCCATTGTCCACACCAATGGTTGGACGTGGTCGTGATGGTCATGATCCATACCGTCCATGCGAGGAGGAGAAGGAAATATTAGGAGACCAATATCCATACCTCGTAGCGATTGGAGCACTTTTGTATTTAATTACATCTACAAGACCAGATATTACATTTTTAGTTAGTGTTCTTGCAAGACATAGTGCACGTCCACGACTACGACATTGGAATGGCATCAAACATTTATTATGTTATTTAAAAGGTACTGAAGACTTGGGATTATACTACACACAATCTGCAGATCCAAAATTGGTTGGAGATTGTGATGTAGGATATAAATCTGATATTGCAACAGCTAAATTTCAAACAGGATATGTATTCTTAAGACATGAAGCTGCAATATCATGGAAATCAATGAAACAAACAATAACTGCAACTTCATCCAACCATGCAAAAATTATTGCCTTGTATGAAGCATCTCAAGAATATATTTGGTTGTGATCAATTGATAAATTCATTCAAACAATATGTGGATTTTCATATGATGATTCTCCAACTATCTTGAATGAAGATAATAGTGCTTGTATTGCACAGATGCAAGTTGGTTTCATTAAAGGTGACAGGACAAAGCATATTGATCCGAAGTATTTTAGTTATATCCATGACTTGATTACTGATCAAGTACTTATAATTAAGAAAATTGAATCTACAAATAACCTTACTGATCTCTTCACCAAAGCTCTCCCATTAAGCAACCATCGTCGACTTACTTATGGCATTGGTATGCGGCGACTTGCTCTTCTTGAATAAGAAAGTTAATGAACTCTTTACATAATTAAAGAAAATGATGTTGTACTCTTTTTCCTTCATCTATGGTTTTGTCCTTAAATAAAATAAGGTTTTCCTAGATAAGGTTTTAATGAGGCAACAATTGTTGATCTTGCAAGATCACAGAAAAGTATAGATCATAATTCTATACAAATTTTATATTATGTAAATATTATGATGAGCGAGGAAGAGTATTGAAATCACTAAATATAGCTAGCGCTCTCCATAATATTTACTGTAGAATACAATAAATACTATAGCTATAGTATTTAGAGTCTAGTGGAGAAGTACTATTTATCCTCTCCCCTTGTTCTCTTCTTGTATATGAGACACAACCAGATTTTTATGTGTGAAGCTCTCTCTCCTTAAAAACCCTCTTGTATGTGACTTACTACTACTCTTGTTTGTGTGTGACTTACTATTACTCTTGTGTCTTTCTAAACATTCTCAACATGTGCAATGAAAATTGGCAAAAACATTGCCAATACAATGTGTAAATTTCAAATTTTCTTCCAAGTTCTAAATTCGAAATCTACTCTTTATGTATCTTCTTTATTCAAGTCATATATCGAAATTAGAAGTTAATCCTTAGTGCCACAGCCACAGTCTTCATGTAAATAAAACTGCAGATAACTGATTTCATAATAATAAAATCCAACATAAACTTTAAAATGAACACATATCATCAGACAGACAGGAGGTTAAAAACCAAATATCACCTTCGGATTAAAATTGTGCCATATGTAAAGCTTTTTCAATACTCAATAGTACCACCATCAATTAATTAAAAAATACATTCTTTAATCAACAAGTTCGAAAGGATTCAAAATATGCTGATAGTATTAACTGAATAAACATGCATTTCAAGTAAGTATTCAGAGGGCTCAACCAAAAACGGCAACTAAGGTTTTTTCTTTCCAAATACTTATGTATGCCAAGTGCACTCGCAGAAGCCGTGCTGTTCTCCCGTCTCCTGTTCTGACGAGTTCATCAAAACTCTTACCAAAATGGTCCATTGCTTCTGTGTCCATCAAGTAGGTTGGTTAATCAACCCAAAACTTAATCTGAAGTTTACTACCAGCACCCAACTAATGATACTCGGCTCCAGTGCCAGTTGCGTATATCACACCTTACATGAGCTGGCACACAACTGTCTACCTTAAGAGAGCACAAGCTAGAAAAACCTACAAATCCTGTCCGCATCCGCATCTACTCTTTTAAAAACTCAGGAAAACCCAAAATACTTTATATGGTTAAAACTTGGCCTCACATACCACTCTTTACCTATTACTGCGGTGAACTGAAGTTTGGGACAGGTGGTGTCCTTGTGGCAACTGGCTATAACCCCAGTTAGGATATGGCTGTGTGACATGGTCAGTCCTGGCGTCCGACCTGTACATAGAGGTCGGAGGATAGAACATTTGAGGGTAAGGAGGATAAACTGGATAGAATGCAGGACTGACCATACCCGGGCCTCGACCACTGTAGTTAAAATCCCGAACTTCTCCTTGAGCTCCGTTTGAACCATACCCCGCTGGAGATTGATGAGTATGTAAAGGAAATGGTCGGGGACCAGTTCCGGGCCCCATGTGGTCATGACCAGAGTCTACAAAATACGGTCTCTGACCCCCTGGAACTGGGGAAATTACCCCTCTACCTTCTGCTCGAAGATATTCTCCGTGTAAAGCCCATCCGGAATAATCTTCATAACCCTGATATGCATTGACGTCTTGCCTTGAGAAATTCATTCCTCGATTGTAGTTGGAATACACACTTTGATGTAGATGCGCAGCCGAAAAACCATTCACAGGGTCTGGACCAACATACGGTGGTGCGTCTGAAATTGGATTCATCCAGCCGTGAACTGCTTTCAGTTGCTTTTCCACTGGCTGCACCAAAGGCTCTTCGGATGTTCTCTTCAAAGATTTAATCCCAAATAGCGTATGTTTCATTTCTCGTATCTGAGAAGGACTCCCTGCAGACGCATTGAGGTGAGCGACTGTATCTCGAAAAGATTGGTGAATGACGTCAAATTCTTTTTCCCGTACAGCACGTGCACAGTTTTGGGACCTCTCCGCAAAATCCTCCACCTGGATAAGGAACACCATAAGACTTCAGGAAGTACTACTAGACAAAGATAAGCTGGAACATTTATGATAATCATAAGTGGCAAAACGCTGCAGCGCTCTGGTAGAGATAGCGATTTGAACTCTACAATACCAGAAAACATCACTAATGTGAGAATAATGTGGGTATAATGACATCGATCCGCTTGACCTATCTACGAACTAGTTGTCAGATCTCGAGTAGTAATGTGAGACTGCGATACCACCGATATGTTCCATGACTACTGCGAGTCTTCAGAAATAATGTGCTCTATGCTGATCATTCTGTTCGGTGTACTCACCGACATGCAACCAAGGTGGTTCTTCGCCCATACTTTGGAGATCCATTTTCCTTCATACACACTAGCACAAAGACCTTGTTCCCACAGGCTCTCGACAGCCAAAAACTGCTTAGCAGAAAATTATCGGGTTAGCCAGCCTGTAACTCTCTAAGTTGAACAACAAATCTTAAAACGCTCTAAAATAAACTAGGAGTGACTCACACTTAGTACAACGCATGGAAAAAGCAAATCATCACTGCTAAAATATAAAAACTGAGAGAATCATTACCCTCGAGGACGGATCGAGGATAAGATTCTATGAACCACGACGTATGACGATAGTATTCAGTGTTTCAATAACCAACCTTCGTGAAGAAAGAACCAAACAGCTGGCCCAAAGTCTCCTTGTTGTCTCTGCCAAAGCCACTCTTCACATAATGGGCCACTCGTTCCCCGACAGCTGCAATGCAATTTTCTGTTTCCCGCAGAAACAACCCTGCTCTAAGCCACCCACGCATATCATGCGTCAATACCTCATCGAAATTCTCTACGTGACAACCTCAGAGCAAGACAAGCATGGGAAACTGATTCACTAAATTCCACATGGAGACTAGAGGAAGAGATCTACCTTCTAAAAGGGCGGAAAAGGAGGGAAGAATGGGTGGTGAACGTGTCTGCATTGACAAGGCCTTGTTTAGTAGTTGATACAAAACGACTAGAGGCTCAAAAAAGAATTAAAACAATAACTTCAACAAGTACCTAAATAAGATGCCAGGACAACATTCCACATGGTGATTGTACAAATACTCGCTATTGAAGATGCAGAGACATACCTGTAAATGAAATGCGGCCAGAAAGATTATTGAAAGAGAATTCAGCGTGCCTTTCTTTGAGTCATTCACATTGTAAGCTTTTGCCCATGCCTTAAGCTGTCAAACAACGAAGAACGTAAAATTCATCGGCAGTCCGGTAAAGGAATCACATGGATTTTAACCTCCGCTAAGTTTTCCATAGACAGAAAGCATCAGCAGATGCCTTGTGCCTTGCCTTACAGCATGCACTACAAGTTTCCAAATGTAAAATGTATTCTGAGATCGATAAAACCTCGCAAAAAAAGAGGATTTCAATTCTTCTACACTTGGCACTTATAATACAACCCTTGGCCATTCTACAACAAACATACGGGAGAAAAGTGTTAAGTTTATAAAGCAGCTCACCAAGAAACAGAGCTGCCGATACCTAAGATCGATCTTGGTGAAGATGCCTATCAATTCAGATTTTAGAACCCCATCCATATTCTCCATGGAGACATCACACTCGATGTTTGTGTGGACCTCCACAAATTTTACCACAGGAACTGCCGCTTTCATTACTGGTTCAATTTTGCGAACAGTAAGCCTTGTCATCCCATTTCTGCCTGGAAGGCACCATCACAACACTAAGCAGCTACATACGTGTACAAATCAACAAACATCGGTATTTAAAATTACGCATCTGTCGTTTTACTCAGGCACAAAAGAAAAAAGAAGATAAAAGAAAAATCGCTTTTCTAAACAAAAATTTAAAATTTCAATATTTGAAAATATGAATGAACATGAGAGTGGCAGGAGCACCATGATGAAGAGTGTGGAGTGCTCGCGTCAACTTTCTCAGCATCGCAATTTTGTCGCCCCGCGAGCGATCAACTGGTGAGTAGCTCATGTTGAGGGAGAGATCTAGATCACTTGAACCTGTGTATAAGTCCATCACAAAAGATCCAAACACTCTAATATGGCTTCCTGCACAACAAGCAGGACGAACACGTTACATCTGTAACAATGTGAGGAAACCCTAAAAAGAAAAATTCTCAAGCAGATTATGTCTGTCGAAGAGTTTTGTGCGTCACTGACAGAAAAAAAACGTTTCAATTCTAAATGATACTCAATAAGTTTCAGAGTGACCTGCAATCATACTCAAATCTGCTGTGGAACTATTTGTTGAGGGCTTTCAAATGCTAGCTGCACTCTTGGACATCACAGCACTAAAAAAAATGTAAATGCCACATACCTTGGATTCTTTGTTTTACGAAAGTATCCACGAATTGAACAACGTTGCGACGGTCGGCTCTCTGCTCCTTGGTCGGTTGAAGAACCGTGTACACATCCTCCAGCACACGGTCTACCAGTCTTCTGCTCTCCGGATCCCATTGTAACGTATTCTCTCGTGATTTCTCCAATTGTAAAGCTCTCTCATACATCACTGAAGGAAACAGATGAACACGATAAACTGATGTACGACGTATGAGACAAACAACAGCCCTCATCACTCGAGAGACGAGCTCTTCGTAGTCTATTTTAAAGCAAATCTCCCCGTTTTAGTGATAAACACAAGGGTAGGTTGAGCCTCGAGCAGAAAAAATCTCATTCACGCTTTTTCACGACGGTAAGTGAACACGAAAAGCGTATCCCATGATAGGCAAGAACTCAAGGATGCTTCAGGTCTATCAGTCTCTTGATAATAAGACTCGGTGCACAAGAGAACGCTTAAGGTAGAGAAAAAAATATACGAGAAGACAAACAGAAGCTTCTAACCATGTGAAGGTGGCGGTACGACAACACGGCACTCGGGCAAGAAAAACTCTTCCTGACCATCGTCCTCACAATCTTGTCTATTGTCAAGACGACTCTCCTTCAGAAAGCTCTCCTTCCCTACTTCGCCTTGGGACTTCATCACCCCTGGCCTACATCGAGAAAGGACAGACAACTTCAGATTACAAGAGAATTAGACTCGGATCATCGTTAGGGATGCCTCATCTCACACGAACAATATGCATTGTGCCCTGATAAGTAAGAAATACACTGACAATATCAACTCCTATATGCTTTCAATACAAAAGATCAATGTGCTTCATATTTAAGTGCCGGTGGGGCTGCCAAAAAAACTGGCTCACACAAATGAAGGTGAATCATTCTTTATTTTCCTACTGAATCCAACGCCCTTGCTAAACAAGCATCTATACACAATGACATGAGGAACCCTTGACGAACAAGACCTTCCAGTGAACTTTGGCAATAAAAACACTTTCTGTAAACAAATCTGTTGCAGCTGGTTCCCGGATCACGGGAATTTAAAAAGCTCTCCTTTCAGCCCGTTTTCCAACCCAAGGGGTTCCCAAGGTAGTGAATATTAAGTAATTGAGGATCCGCAGCAGTAAAGATTTTCAAATACCCATTTGGCGATCCACTGGCGAGAAACTACTCAACGTCAACCAAACAAAGGTCCTGATAACGCGTCTATCTTACAACTCAGAAATAAGAGGTGTCACAAGTCACCTACTGCATAGCACTAGCAATCCTCGCTTGCTGAAGATCCATCAAGCCAACACATCATTATCCTTGCTCTACCGACACCACCACCACCATCACCGGGCTGTCCGCATTGTTGCAAATCCAAACCCTAGTTTCAATCAAACCCCAAATCCTTCTCCAACGCTACATGTCAATACGGCTGTCCAGCACCTCCTCTACAAAATTACCGACACGCATCCAATAGAGAATGTCGGGCAAGATGCCGAGAAGGCCGTGGGCGACGCACTGACAAGGCAACGTAAAGCGCACACTTCCATAGCGCTTCGCGTAATAACTAATCCTTCTCGAAAGACGGATTGCATAAGCCGCGAACGCCGAACGCCTCCCCGGCTTCACTCCACTCCACTCCACTCCCGCAAAGTCTCTTTCACAGACACTTCGTGCACACTTCACCGGCCTGATCCTATCACCGACGCCAGATGCACAAACAAACCGGGCGGCCTGTTTGAAAGAAAGCAACCGATAAGAGGCAGAATAAAAAGGCGCCTATTCGAAGGCTTCGACAGTAACAAGGCCTGGCCTGGCAACTAAACCCGCAGGCAACGCAGCTAAGCTCCCCAAGGTCACACAAGAGAGAGCACAAGCATGGGAGCAGTAGCAGTATCAAGGATTGATTATTCCTACGTCATCCGGCACACCACCCTGCCCCGGTGCACTCTCTCTCGCCCTGTCTCCTCTTGCTTTCTCTCTGTGACTGGTGAGCACGACGACGACGACGAATAGAATTGGATTGAATTGAATTGAATTGAATGTGAATGATGTGGACTTAGAGAGCGCCGCCAATCCACGATTGGTCATCATTATCAATTGATCTCTCTGTCTGTCTATCTCTCTGTCTGTCTGTCTCTCTGGCTTGGTGTTCGTTGTAATCAATCAATCCCTGCTGTTTGTTTCCTTGCTTACTTTAGGGCCTCCCTCCACCCCCACTTCCTTCCTTCCTCCGTCGTCATCGTCATCGTCGTTATCGTCGTCGTAGTCGTCGTGCGCAGCAGCAGCAGCAACAGTGGCCGGCTGGTCGTGTAGAGAGGAGGTATCGGCGATGGCGATTTGGTCCCAGAAGAAGAAGAAGGCCCACCCATCATCATCCAACACACATCCCCCACGCCCCCCCTAATTCAGACTGTGTGTGTCTTCTATTTAGGGAGCCTGCCCGTCCGATCTCGGGTCCCGTGCGCACCCCACCCCCTATACCCGACCCCATGGGGTCCAGCATGGCATGGATACCCTGCCACCGTGTGTCCACCTGTGCTGTCCTGTCCGCCACGTCCGTCCGTGGTGCACCCTTCGGCTTATTCTGAAATTGGGGGTTGGTTATCAACGAGCCTGGATTAAGATAATAGAGAGGGATGAGGGATGGGGATTGAGGGGGACTATTAATCATGGAATGGCACATGTGTTCACCCGCTTCTAGAAAATCAAATAAAATGTAATTGAACACTCACTTACTCACTCATTCACTCACTCACATTTATATATTCTTTGTGTTCCAAATCACAATGCATGCTCAAAAATATTGTGTTTTCTCTTGTGAAAGGTCACCACTCACTCTTAAGTAGGTTGGAGGCTTTTATATATATATATATATATATATATATATATAATTAAATAAATAAAAATCAATTACTCCTCTCTATCTCTCTCCAATAATTGCAATCGTGATAATTGTTCTCTTTTTTTGTTGCGGTCTTTTTCTAGCATTTTCACCACAACTATTCAAATCTATTATAGTGTGAGATTTAGAGATTTTTATATTATATTGTGTGAATAATATGTATATACATTATTATTATTGTTATTATTATTATCATTAATATTAATGATAAGCTTATATTATTATTGTTATCATTAATATTAATATTAACCTTTGCAATTTGATGTGTGATAATGTAAGTAAGTTCAAATATTCATTGTAAGGCTTTATTGGTTACTGTTTTTTTTTTTTTTTTTTTTTTTTTCGCAAATGCTTTTGTTGTATTCAACTTTTTAGGGAAAATAAAAAAAAAAAAAGTAAAAATAAAATAAAAAACCAATACTTTGAACAATGACCCATGTGGTCAACATTAGATTTTTGAAACTATCCTTGTTTGAAACAATGTAAATTATTCATTTTATATTTTCTATTGATTATCAACATTTATTTAGGAAATCATTAGGTGAACACTCTCTTTTACTACATAGATATTTCCATGCCATGCACCCCCACATACACATAATAAAATTCTTTTTTCCACTAAAAACTCTAGGAATAATTTATGATAAAAAAAATTGTGTGCAATTGCTCACGAATTTATTTTATTTTATTTTATTTGACTTATAAAAAAAAAAGCATCATATTGTATCTGATGTATTTTACATAGACTTTAAAGAGCTTGTCAATTTTATTTATGAATTTTTTATTGTAAATATATCCTTATAATTTTTAGTGCAAATGAAAATTTTGTTATGTTTATGTGGAGGTGTGTGGCAAAAGGTGCCCACGCAATAAAAGGAAGGTGTCTACATAGTAAAAAAGGAGTGTCCACCTAACAGTTCCCTTAATTTAATACCAAAAATACATTTGGCTTGACTTCTTATTCATTTTTAAGAATCGTTTGAGCTACACAACAATTCTAACAACTAGATATAATTTTAAAATTAGCTCAACGGTATTTTTAAAATTGGCATACCCATCCATTTATTTCTATCTACAAAAATAGAGTTCTTTGGAGTTCAACAGATAACATCAGCATCCAAAAATATATTGTGGAACTGGCTGATATGTGTGAGTGTGTGTGTATAGATATATTTATGCAAATCAATTGAAACCAATAAATTTCAACACTATTTTATATGAGTACAGATATGGAATCTAAAATTAGAAATATTTAAAAAATAAACATTCTAACATTCCAATTTTTATTCTATTCTGTAAGGAATTAATGTAATATAATAATAAGTATGCAAAAAAAAAGTGAAATAATATATAAAAAAACATATGTATTGATTAAATTTTTCCTTGAAATTAAGTAGGAAAGTAGCCAAAAGGTAAGAATGCTCCATTAGATGCTCTAAGTCTCTCAGGTAAATCAATTCTTTAAAATAAAATAAACTATACTGAAAGTCGAAATGCAGAAAGAAAGCGCGATGAATGCGATTGTTCCTCACATTGAATCATTTTTATTTATTTTGATAAATACATCTAAGAAGAATCCTCAAATGTTTTTTAAAGAAGTGAACGAACATTTCACTGAGAACTGTAAGGGGAGCCAGATTCAACACCAAAACCTATAAAATATAGAAACTTGGTATTAATACACGCTTACCTCATCATCCATCTACATTGATTAGAAATCGCAACCAAAACTTCATGTTATCTTTTAATAGAATTTTATTGAAGAAATTCAACCAACACTTGTAATCTAGTCATACAATTGCTTGATCAACTTTTAAGCAAGGCCAGATAGTGTTTCAACCTACAATGGTCTAATAAGGGTTCTTCTTTCAACACCCCAAAAGTCTTAAAAAAGAAAAAAAAGAAGAAAAGCTTTGAGCAAATTCAATTAAAACAAGTCGAAACCTGATGGTAAACCATTAGAAACGTCTGTAATGGAAAATTTTCTTTCATGGGTTTCATGCAAAATTCCATTTTGTACACTTATTCACATGCACACACATCCACACAAACATACACTTTGATTATGAAATGATATCTGGGTTCAACATTAGGTTAGTGAGAGAAGAAAGTCAAAAGGGCAGAGTATAATGCCACTTTTGCTAGTTTAGGACTTGAAAGCCTTTGCCTCACAGACACCAGCTCCCGTGTGTGCTGCGGTCAACAGATGTCCAAACTGGCTTGGAAAGAGACGGGTGGAGAATCCAGCCACTTCATTCCGATCGAAGTACAAATGACAAATCTAACAGTTAGTATCAATCTCACAGTCAACTTTTCCTGGAAATCCTAAACAATCACAAGTCCATCCACATTTACACATATAGATTTTCACGGGGTACACATGTGATGATACTGCATGCCTGTAGGATTCAAACAGGAAGATCATGTTTGTAGCCTGTACCAGAGCAGGTCGGAGACTGAGCATCGTCTCATCAACAAGTAGAGCCTACGGGACCATACGTGCTGTCCCACTAGTGAGAATGTACTACAGCACTGGGGATATGAGAGCCACCTGAAGAGATCGTTTCGCAGGAAGGACCAACTTAAAGCCCCACTTGCTGGTACTTGGTACTAACACAAGTAGCATTCAGTTGTGTAGCCATGCTATCAGAGTGTGTCAATCCAACCTCCAGATCTGTTGCGTTGTTGACGTTGAAGACTTGGGAATCTGTAGATAGATCTTCAAGGGGAACCCACTCAATCAGCTCCAGTAGAAGCTAGCGGCGCATGCAGTTCCTTTGATTGCAGCGAAACCAAGGATGTGACCAGGCACTGGAACTGCACGTTCTGATACTGACGGTGCTGGGAATCCTCTTAGGAAGAAACTGAAGCACTTCAACTTTCAAACGGAGTGGTGACTTCGCAAGAGCATTTGTTAGTCAGAAGAGGTGAGAAAAGACTCATCACTTTAACATAGTTTTAATAATTAAGAAGGAATAGAAAAGAATGGAAGAGAAGAACTAACTTGGAATTCCTAGCTCACAAGTTTAGCTCGTGCTGGAAAAAGTAACCGTTTATCACTTGATCTTCTGGAAACTTTCAACGCAAAAGTAACTACCGATTTCATCAGCTACACAAGTAGGCTTTGAAGATATGCACCACTTTCTGAAATTTGGATCGCCTTGTACCTCTGCATGGTGAAGGCGATTGCCTCGATAACTGGTAAAGGCTCTATGCTTGATATTTCGTAGAATACGTGGATGGTACCTGTTCTATGCAACACGTATTCTACTTCCCTCGATCCTGAGATAGCCCTGCAAAAAATTCGTGGTTACTTTGTTGTTCACAGCACTGACAAAGGCCTCACATGATCACCTAAAATTTTGTAATAAAACTTCCGTTAAAGCATGCAGTTACAAAAACTCATACACGCAAGAATCAAATTGTAGGATGATTGTGTGATGAGCTCTAAAAAAGTTGAAATGTGAGGAAATGCTCACCGCCATAGTGGAGTACGATGATCTCTGGATCGACTTCAAGAGCCGCATCTGCAATCAACTACATGCGGCGCACACTGTTTTCCTATGGAACTGCCGTTCTTGCCCCAATAGAGCCAGTCGTGGTGAGACCCATATGTGCAGCCTGGATGTCGGCTTCAGCCATTCCTATCGTGTGCTATTCTTGTGCATCAAAAGCACAGGGAATTTGGAGAAAACTCATTTCATGTCCTCGTCGAATCAATGCGACTTTCACACTGCAAACATTCGTGCATTTAAAGCATTAAATTAAATCATCAACATGCAACGATAGCAGGCACTTAAAAAAAAAGAAAAACTAACCTTATAGCCTCATTGATACTGAGCGAAACGACTATTTCAACCACTGCGCACATGTCGCAAGCTCGGATACACTCAATGAAAGTAGAGGACTAGAGGAATCACTTAACATAGAATGCAACTAAGACAATGTCAGAGAAATGTCAGGGCAATGTCAGGGCAAGCTTTGCCAAGTTCAAGTTCACGACCTTCATGATGCGCTTAAGACCATGAAAGAAAATAGGTCAATTATCCAAGTTAAGCACCTGTAGCCCATGCCACTTCTTCCAGCTTTTGGCTGAAATAGCAATCAACGAGACCAATCATGGAATTTTTTTGATTATGACCGTTAAAGCCCAGTCGCTCCAGTGTGATCAAAATTTGGTTCATGCGGCGCATAGAGTCTCATGCACACACTCCTGCAAGCACTGGGACTCTTCTCACCACCTTCACCTCAATGGCCACTTTTAGAATCAATGTCCACAACAATCATCATCGGCAGTTACCAGTCAAATCCAGAAAAACAAAATTGTCAAGGTCAGATAGATCGACGGGATTGCTCACAGAAAGGACGAGGCATACATAGACGTACAGATAAGACCTCTGATGCCATATCGACCACCACGGCAACTCATTTTGTAGGCATGATTCTGTCCAATTACCTACGGCCAGCCATTCGAAACTGTCCAGAATTGTAGATGACTATCAAATCTGCACTCCCTTCTTCAAACTTGGCAGAAATTCCAGTTTCAGCTGCCGAACTTGTTATTATAAGAACTCCAGATATTTCATTCTTCAGTTTTAGAATTAAATTAGCCCGAGTTCTTAATAATTCTATAGAAAAACGAACAAAAATGAGGACACGGATGTTTGATATTAGTGCAATCGTCTGCATTACACCTGGTTTCAAATCGATATAGATAGAACTGCTACTTTTTGAACACCCAAACAGATGCCTCAAGAGCTCAATAAGGTTTTCCAACACGTTCAAAGCTTCACAAAGAATCGAACAGAATAGCTTTAGTCCAATCCTCTCTCTGACGAAAGAGCTTCATGTGTACATCCAGGAAACCCAAAGAAATTCACCATCATGTTATTGTTTACAATCGATTGATAAACCCAAGAACAGCAGACCTGCTTTGGTTCATGAATAATGAGTTAGGCCCCTGACGAGTTTGGACTTTATGGTCTACATATTGAAAGGTGAGGGAATGGAAACGTACATTTACTGCGAAATACCATTAGCACGGGGCAGTTCCATAAACTTCTGATCGTTGATATGATAACGCAGCATTTGACCTGATTACAAGTCAAGTAAATGTGTTTGATGACAAGACGGCCTTGGAAATAGAACCAATGTTAGGAACAACTTTGATTCATTCTACAGCTGAAAATGAGCACATCTAAAATCCACTCCAACAGGACACGTGAGTAAGAATCAATCCCATGCTAGAAACCATCACACAGCCTCAACAATCACTGAAGAACTTTGAGCTGCTTCTCAACTTCCAACTCGAGACCAAACTCGATCTTATGACTTCCATTAAAAGTTTGTCAAGCTGAGAAGAACTTACTCCGTTCGGGAGTCTGCAGATTAGATTCTCTAATTCCTCCAACAATCCACCTGTTGCTTCAGGGTTGAAAAAAGGCTTGCCTCTCAGAATTCAGGGCTGACTCGCAGAGAAGCAGTAAAGTGATTATAAGTTATATGATATTAGTTTCGCAACTCCTCGATTCTCTTCAGGTGTTGTCCGCATCAGGAATAAAAAAAAACCACTACAAACAGCTCCTCAGTTCAACAGACCTTCAAGAAACTTAATTATTCTGAGAGCAAGTAGTACTTCGTAACGCAATCTGCGTTAAAACTCTGCAGGCTCTCTCGCTCTCTCTTGCAAATCGCTCATCAAAACTCATATGTTTTTATATTTTTATAGCAAAAAATGTGACTTCTTTTAATTTATAGAAAAAAAAATTAGAAAAAAATGTATATGATACTATCTAAACTTCTTACACTACTAAACAAAATTGAGTTTAATAAAAATTATGTATATCTTTGTTATAGAGAGTCTAAAAATATTACTTAATAATTTTTATAAAATAGTATAATTACAAAGAAAAAAATCTATATATATATATATATATATATATATATTATAATTATGTATTTTATTTTGTTTATCTTATATATATTTGAAGTATGCTACATATGTTTTCTATTTAATGAATGACTCCATAAAGGTTCTAAGAGGAGGTGTAGGTAACATTATTACAACACAATATGCTAATGATTTAATAAATATTTGGAATATTCTTTAAATAGTTATTAGGGATTTTTAGTAGTTCTAATACTTAATTTGAGAGAACTAAAATTGTATTTATATTAAATAAAATCTTAATCTATATATATATATATATATATATATATATATATATAATTTTTTAAAAAAAAACTAATTTTATTTTCATGTATGATTTAATGTTTATTCTTAGTATTTGGTATTAAAGCATAATTAAAATGATACAATGGTGGCAAAGAACTCAAATAAAAATTTTAACCAAAGAAGTTTGAAAAAAAGCTACTTATATGTATATGTATATATATATATATATATATATATATACTTGTGTGTGTGTGTGTGTGTTGGTTTTTCTAGTTGGATAATTGAAGTAAATAAATAGCTTTTCGATATTCTTTCGTGATTATTTACCTTCAAACATTTAATGTTAATTCGTTCAGTTACTTATTTCAACTTAAGAGGTATATGGGCTAAGAATCTTTCTAATAAATTTTTGATAAAATTAGCGACACTATCCAGGTTCCAATGTTAGTTACAAAAATGTCTTACAAACATTGCTATTGTTTGACTTACAATCAGCTTGGATAGATGACAAAAAACTCTTTAATTCACTGACACATCAGTGTTTGTATTTTATCACAGTACTAAGAATAGCGAAGACTTTTTCATTTTCAAACGTGATTTATAAATTTTTAACTACAATGTTTACTTCTGAAAAACATTTATCAAACTTGAATGTTTTCCATGACATATCTTCACGAATAAAAGATCTGTGAAGAACAGCCAACAGACAATTGCTACTTTTCATTGTGGTGAAAAACTTTCCAAACACAAGTTAAACGCAAATCTCAATGACACTTTTTCATAGTGAAATTTAATGCACTAGTGTTAGTAGTTTGGTTGAAAGCTCACAGTAGGAAATGGAGCACGTTTTGGGATCGAGATGAAACACCTGCAAAGTGAATATTCCAGGTACGGCCACTATAGAATCGGAAACAAGGGAACAAAGTTCGAAGCGAAGAAGCATTTTGCAGGTCTTCAAGCCAATTACGACAGACAACTAATTGCTTAGACAGCTTTTGGACATCCTCCCAACAAACTCAACGTGGTCCCTTGCATTTCATCATCTGAATCCATTAATGAGGCGTAGGTGCCTGGTTCAAGAGACAAGTTTACAATAGGATAAAGTCCTCTACCAAAAACTCATACAAGACGACCGCTGATTATGGACATGCAGAGCTTTCTGATCATGTAGGGACACGGCATGTTGACTGATTTTATGCTTTTGAACTGATTGCTAGCCACGAACCTACATACTGGAGGTTGTCAACATTGTACTCGATGCACAAGAAGCAATTTTCGCTAGTGCTACATGTTCAGACCCTCGACCCTTCTGTCGACATCCTCATACCCTTGCTTCTTCAGAAGATCCAACAGTGCGGTAGCCTTTCGTTTGGCGCGGTTTGTAGCTTCCCGTGAAGTAGCTAAAGCAGTCAAAAGCTCAGCAGCATTCGTCTCTCTCGCTTGCTTTGCATACTCAGGATCGTACGAGCATAACGCCAACAAGATTGAAGCTGCGTTCTCTTTGTTTCGTGGCGACTCAGACTGGATGATCTTCAGCCATATAGGGGTGGGTCCGACTGCACTGATAACGGAGCGGCCGTCGGGATGCGTGGCCAAGATAGCCAGGATTGCCAAGGCTTCATCCAGCATGGTAACCGGTTGCTCTTCGAGAAGTTTCATGAGAGGAGGTACCACTCCAGCCTGCACTGCGCGAGATTTGTTTCCCTGAAAGATGGAGAGGTTGAACAGCGCAGTTGCAGCGTCCTTCTTGCCTCGTGATGTTCCGTCATAAAGTAGTGCAACCAGGGCAGGAATAGCGCCGGAGCCTCCAATTGTGACCTTGTTTGCATCCACCAGGGAGAGGCTGAAGAGCGTGGCTGCAGCGTTTTCCCGGGCGTCCATGCAGCCGCTTTTCAAAACCTCGACGATGGGTTCTATCGCACCTGTGAACTAATCACATATTTTTTTTAACAATCTCCATGAACAGCAGATGATTGAATGATACTAAATCAAACAAGTGGGCGCGACAAATACCCATCAAAATTAATACCCTCCAGTTGATTGACCTAATACCTGCAGTCATGATCCGTCCTTTGTTGCTTTCGTTGATCGACAAATTTAAGAGCGCTGTCACAGAGTGTTCCTGAGTCTTCTGGTCAGGTGAATGTAGTAATCTAACCAAGAGAGGGATGGCCCCTTGTTCAGCAATGAAGCTACGGTGATCGACATTTTTCTTCGCCCGCAGACGGAGGTCATAGGCAGCATTCCTTTGTACCTCGGATAAGGGACTTGATAACTTTTTGACAAGCTCGTCGATAGCAGCTTTGTCTTCTGGTGAGCACTGAGAGCCCTTCGCTCGTTTTTTGGGCATTTCTACACCATATAGTGTACACCATTCGGCGATAACACTGCGAAGAACATGATTGGGTGTCAAGTGGGTATGGGGTAGGGACAAGCCTGTTTTTGGACAAGTCTTTTTCCCACTATCCAGCCATTTCTGGATACATAAACGCTCGAATGTCTGCAGCACCCACATTGACTTAGAGTACGATTAAGATTCCCGAAAGCGTGAAGTAATGGAGGCATCAGAGCTCACACAATTTGAAAACCTCAAATAGAAACTGCAAAGGAATAAAAAAATAAATAAATAAATAAAAATAAATAAAAACACAGTTGCTTTTTTTTCTATGTCTCCAACCCATAGAGCACTCACGGATTGCTTACAACTGGGTTATCAGTCAGGAAAAGATCTGGATTTCTGGAAGGTCTTCCTAAAGAGTAATTCTAATATAGATTTCTTCTAATTGTAACTGCCGATGGTCAACATCGTTTCACAACGAGAAAAAACAATGATGCACACATATAAAATTGGATATACAAGGGTTTCACTAACCTGGCCAGTCGCAATAATAACAGGGTCTCTCATGAGATCCAGAGAAATAGGACACTTAAAATCATCTGGAATATTTAGTACTCCTTTGTCTATTCCTGCGTCGGGAGAAGCAGGTTGCATGCTAGCCTTCTCCACGCCAGCCCTCTGCGCTATTTGCAGCTTTTTCAATTCAGGACCGTCTTGCTCTAGTTCTTCACTAGGAAAGAGGCTTCTTAAATCATTCAGAAGTGCATAGAGCTGGTCAAATCCTCGCTCATTGATTGGAATTCCATCCAAAGCCCATGTGGAGCTTGGAACACCTTCATGTAAGCCCATGTAGAACTTCATCCCATCTAAAGCTTGTAACTCTTTCATCAATGCTCTTGCCGTGTCAAACTTGAACATATCAGCCAACCCCTTCAGTTTATCTTTCGAGCAGTCATGAGTTTCACTCAATACTGAAAGTAATTCACTATTCAAATGTGCGTCAAGGGGATCTTCCAGGCTCTTCGATCTTTGAAATTGATTGCGCACAAGATCAACCTAGAGAACTTAGAAGAATGAGAATGATAATCACAGAGAAATTGTAAACTTTCTGTACGGTCACGAACACTCTCGTTTGCTAGAGACTGAGGTACTTCACAAAAATTCAGAAGTGCAAACATGGCGACAGCCGGATTATAAAAACATTAATTCACTCTTATGACTTACCTGCTCTCTCACTTCATCTGAAATGTCAAGAGAAAGCGGCTTGTTTAATGCTTGTCGAAATGCTGCAGCCAGCAGTAAAAATTGCTTTGCCACTTCTTGTTGCTCCAAGACCTATTACGGAAAAATACCAAGAGGGGCTTAATACAATATTACTAACACGCATAGGCCTACACGCGTTTTCTTTAAAAGACAACAAATTACTGCAGGTAAGACAGGATAAGGGAATAAAGTTGCTAATAAGAAATGTCTGAACATATAGCAGCCCACAACTTTGCGTAGACAAAGCCAGATGAGAACAGCAAAAGTTAAGTTTCCCCATGGTTTCCATTTCCATCCGTGCAGTATTAGTCTGTAAAGAAAAAAGCCCACCAGATAAAGTTTACTTCCTGTGTTGCACAAGAGCAGTAAGATCTTGGCATTGTTGAGAGCTGCCTCCAAGGCGTTGAAGCATGCTAAGTCTTCTTCAGAAATGGTTAGTTTCAAGTCTCTGACTTCCTCAAATAGTGGGATAAGCAGCTTCACACGCCTGATGAGGGTGGAGCACTCCTTTTTATGGGTCTTAAAATCTCCAATCGAGGTTATAAAAGTGCAAATCTCAAGTACCCTTTGCATTAAAGAGTACAAAGAACTTTCAGCCATTGCGATTTCCCACAATTGGTGATGAGCCAAATCTCACTCGGCTATCTAGAATGGATTGTTTGCGGTCTCAACTGGATAATACATAGGGTGTATTGTGTCATCGGACAACCAGGTAACTGGTGTCTCTCATAGAAAAGAATATGCGTTTCCAACTACAAGAAAGTTGCAACTTCTAAACACTTGCATATCCTATGAACCACCCTGCTTGAATCATCACTTATGTTTTTCAATTTTGAAAGTAGAGGATTCCACAATGCTGTAAAAGTGCCCAGAGAAATCTGTAAATTTACCCGACAACTGCACCGTCTTCGCAAAGTTTCCGTTCTTCAATATCAATTCTCCCATGACCATGCAAACAGCTGCAGACAATCCACAGAATCTTAGGCATCGGAATAAACAAGAAGACCTGTTCACATCCCAGTTTCAAGTCATCGATTATAGAAAACATGCAGACCAATATCAACAAGCGATACACAACCAAAGATAACAAGTTGTGAAACTGCGAGAAACACATTAAATCTTAAAGGTTACAACGTGCAGTTCGACAAATATGAGCATCAGCTGTAGTAAAACCTGAATCAAGCTTTTGAATACAGAGGCATGCTTGCATAAAACCTATTAGTAGCTGCGTACTTTGACCGATGAATAAGACTAAGGATGATAATTAACATAACCCCAAGGGTCAACGAAAACCAACATAGGTTGGACGAATTGGTTACTGAGGAACAGCCTGACAATAGCTGATAAGATAAATAAAAAGTCGATTTTAATTTTATTTATTTATTTGAAGCTGGATATATAGCCTCCTAATGATGCGTGGGGGTTATATTCAAATTCGCGAAATTAAAACCTGCAAAATATTCCAATCAACCGCGCAAAATGGCACCGACAATGCAACTCCAACACAAGTCGGCACGAAGGCATCACACTAAGGCTTCAAGGCTACACCGTAAATAAATCCAACATACTTATTTGCGGAGGCAGGTCAAGAATTTACAGCTGTGATGGAAGTCAAAGGATCCAACCGTCATCGACACGAGTCAACGCTCGACGAGTTTCGACCATCACGAAAGCACATGCGTAGAAACTCTCTTTCTCTTTAATCACTACCAGCGACGGAGAAACTTATAATTGGTGCAAGCATTTTCTTTAGGCGATTACTTTTGGAGTTGTGGGCGTTGCACTGCAACAGCCGTCAGAGAGGCAGTGAGCGATCACAGCCGGAGGATTTACACCGTCTTTCAGAGTCGTTCTAAGTTATCAGCAGGAAGACTAACGACCAGTCAAGTACAGACATGATTTCTGTTTTGCAGAGAACGATGATGGAAGTCGAATGACTCCAATTTAGAAGTCTTTCATTATACAAGAGACAGAATTATGCGACATACCTACTAAAAAGAGAGGAGACTAGGAGCACACAGGATACTAGGCTGAGCACCCTCACAACTCAAATCGTTTCTCTAAGGCAGCTGCACTCATTCACGAGAATCTGATTGAGTGAAGGACCGGTGCAAGAGGGCAAGAAGGATCGAGAAAGTCGGTAAGCAATGACAAAGCTTTACTTCTAAGAAGACTAAAACGACACCAAAAGTGAATGCAAATCATCAGAGACGAACCCGCCTTGAAACTGTCCTCACATTTGTTTACATCCCTCGCCGTAAAACAAAATCCACTTAGGTACTAAATTCGAAGGAATTTAGAGATCCTAATTCTGTCGTCAAAGCTTCGTTCCACATAATCTCGCTCTCATAATCTCCCCATTCGCACCATAGCTATATTCAACCAAACCCCTAAAGTCAAGCAGGTTCTAATGTCAATCAAGGGCACCATCCTGTGAGCCTACAGACCTTTCTATACGATTTTTCTCAAATATCAGCCGCCACGCAAGCAAGCCATCACACCAAGTCACGCGGAATACTCAGCAACTCTACAGATCATCCCACAATCCTGACAGACCCAGCAGCAGTACTGCCATCACCAAACGAGAACAATCAAACCTTGCGCCCGTAGCCCGCAATTTCATGTCTATGCGGCCAGTTTTCCTCTCCTCTCCAAAAAAATTCCCTACCTCCTGCACTTTCATGGGAGAGGAAAAACATAAAAATAAAAAAAAATAAAAACACTCAGCACACCATGCAGACGGTCTTGTACCCTAAAATCCTTACCATCACCATCACCATCACCACCAATCTACCCCAAATCCCAACCACCAACAGCTCGCGCGCGTCTTTGAATTTCACAGACTAATCCAGCACTTGACCCCCATATTTGTCACCCGCTCATACTCTGAAAAAGTCGAGATATATGACACAATACACGACATAGACACTGCGCGATGTATTACAACTTCGACAAACCGACACTGGAAGGAATACAGGACCTTACATCAGGCTCATTTCCGAGCGTGAAGAGTCGCCCAAGAAACTTTAGAAAAGAAGGGAGATCTGGCAGGATTCAAATTCGCGATGCATAGCGTTGCTAAAACCGAACGCAATACTCTGATAGTATCAGAAGTTACCAAAACGCGAGGAGGGACTTCCTGCATCAGTCAGATAGTTTTTGAACCTCGACAGCTGAGGTGCTTGTGAACATTATTCAATATTGGGTGCACAGCAGCCTCTGGAGGTGGCAGGCCCTATTTTATTTTTTGTGAGTTTTACTTTCATCAACTTTTTGCAGGTTTACGATTGCGTCAATGTGTGACGATCAATGTACTGTATTGCAAATGGGCCCGGCAGATGAAGGGTGGGTGATTGTACCATCTATGCCAGTTGGTGGCTGGTTCCTGTGTGGAGGACTGGGGGTCAAGTACCTAGACCCTGCGTTGCTTGGATGGTACCCCAGCGTCTTGAGAGTGAGACTCACCTCGTCACCGAAGTCGTTGACGGAAAGCTGGAAACACTTGCATATCCCCTTATTAAATTCCTCTGTGAAGGTTCCGACTACTTTTTTTTTTGTGGAGAATATTTTGCGATTGATAATCCCCCCAGTGCATTGCAGTACGTGCAGGACGTACATCGCAAAAGACGAGGTCCAGAGGCTCTGAGCGTCCCACCACATGGCTGAGAATGAACTGTGTCGCAGAGATGGGTTGTGAAGGCAGGGGAGACATGCAGTGGGGCTGGTGGATGTGAATCTTTTGCACACATCCACGAGAAGAAAAATTCTCAAACAGGTATAGAAACATAATGCGATCGGTGTTTGACCAAGGCTGTATACTTTTGAAGCAGGGGTTTCGAATATATGTAATGAATGGTGAGGGGGTAAATGGACACCAGCGTTGCGCGTCTCTAGTTCCACCAACCAAGAACAAATAAGTCGACCTGACAAGCACAGGGAGAGGGAATACGTTTAGATAGAACCAGTCGATTTCGTATGGGCTCCTCAGGTTCACGACACGTCTCTGATGTTGTGGAATGGAGTAGGTCACGGGCACAATCTCATCGCGAGGGTTGCAGTTCGCAGAAGAGTCTTTTATAGTAATCTGCAGGAAATTGTATTAACTTTTTTGTACATCGAGTTTTTGGTTATACAAATTCTATTGGAGCCGCTCTTGCGCTGCCTCAGCTGGAGCCTATGCGTCTGCACGGACCCCAATGCGAAGGATAGCTGGCTGATGCTTTTATGAGACCTCAGCTAGCCCCGATACTTCACGCAATGAACCTTTCGAGAAGATGAGAGAGACCTCTGCGGCGCTGGACTGTGTGGATTAATTATCAAGTTGGATAATCAGACCGTCGTTGCAGTGTGGTTTAGAGTTAATATCATTGCAACATACAGCCACTTGAACGCAGTTTCAACCTTATTCCTCTTGAAAGTACGAGCTGCTGATTGCATAGAGATACGTGGAATACTGAACCTCATTAACTTTGGTATTCCCGAGGCAATCCATTTCACGACATAATTGGAACAGTACCTAGGCACTTAATTCCTGGAAGCGAAGTGTCAAATGAAGAGTGTGCAAGGAACTTGAGAATGTTTTTTTCCGTGGCGTGAGTAAAGCCGAATGCTGAAACAAAGTTCATATTTAATTTTGTTGCAGATTCCATGTATAAGGTTACATTCGTTGTGAAGTACTGCAACTATTATTTTATGCTACTGCGAAGGTGCATAAAACCTACCTACGATCCATGTTGAGTTCGACAGAAGAGACAGAGAAGCTGCCGAATAACTATCTGCTACCTGGGGATGCAAGTCTGTAGACCATCTGGTCATCCTGCAAACCGTACAAGCATTATTTGCCTTACCAGTTAAGACGCACAGACGATTGGTCATCAACCATTCTTCGTATTCCCAATATCTCCCAAGTCTGTGTGATGTGATCTTGCGTGTGTTTGTTCCACATCGTTTCTGCCGTAACCTATGAAGTTTCGACACAATAAAATCGATAAGCTTTTCAGTCACTTGCCGAACTTAACAGGTCAGGATTTCTTGATACTCTGGCACAAACACCTTAGTATCTCTCACAGATCCCTGTTACGAAGTCTCTTACAAAAAAGACTGCAATGATGTTTTCCCATCACTGAGCTTCCATCCCTGATGTCATACTGGTACAGTCAACGACGTTTTCGCGAATATGCTACGATGCAAAAAGACGGTGTAGAAACTGGAAATGCTGCAAAGGACTGATCAGGAACACTTATCAAGTGGAGGCACGGCATGTGCAATTCGGTTGTGCCAGATGTCTAAGGAATTTGGCTGATTTTGAGAATTGTAACTGCAGACTTTTCTAGTTCTTAAATCACAATTCTTCCAGACAGGAAGCACCCATCATCTACCTCTCTACACAAATTTCTCCTGGAAGACACTGCAAGAATGAGTGGACAAAAGTGCAGGACTCGTGAAACACTTTGAAGAGAGCACTTGTGTAGGAATCAATTTCGTTGTAGAAACTTTTTGCTACTTCCTGTTGACCCGTTGTAGCTTCAAGTGTTGGATGTTCACAGGCGAGTCTCCTCTTCACAACTGTAGTAATCGTAGAAACAGAGAAAAAGAGTTGAAGAGCTAACAGAATGCATTACTCGCTTGAACAGATGCTTGGTTTCGATTGATGTTCTCAGAAGTTAACTCAAAAAAAAAACTTGAAAAAAGAGACTGAAATTGCCACCTCATGTTCGTTGGTTAAAAATGTTGGAGGTTCCGAGCATCCAACTGTTTGCTCTATGTCAGCTATACTACCTGCACACAGGAATACACATTCTGTTTACGTTCAATTTACATTTTGATGCCTATTATGCCGGTTAGTGGAACCAGGAGCGAATATAAATACATACATATATAGTTTTGTTAAAAAAAAATTTAAGACATCGGAATCTGGTGCATGTTTCGCAAAATTGAATATCAAAGAATTCCACGAGAGACATTTATGGTACGAAGGCCTAGATACACTTTTACGTAAAACTATGCAGCTTAATTATTCCCTCAGAAACAGGTACCAGCTATTTCAGATGAATGGGTGGCAGATGATGACTTGTTGGCTGCCTTCTACACCGTTTACAGTAAAAGTAATCACAATCACTTTCTGCAGGCGAACCACCTTACCCTACCTTACAGTGAAAAGCAAGAGAATATTCTAGACAACTACTGAGTAGGTGAGATATCCAGGCAAAAGCTTCGAGAATAATCCTTGCGGGGCTTTGAATAAAATGGTTAACAACAATGGTTGATGTCAAGTTGATGATTACTTGGAGGCATTCTACTTTATCAATTAGCCTTGGGTGCTTTGCTTGACAAACTCTCCAGCGATTGATCGATTTCTTGCTCCGTCATACCATCCAGCTCTACACTTCTCTCCACACCATTATCTGCACATTAAAGGTCACACCATTGTCACAAAATTTCGCCAAAATAACTGAAGCTCGGGAAGGTTTTACAAAATGGGAGCTTAGTTCTACACTAGAGCACACATGATCTCCAGCACTGATCCCAAACGTCGACATTGGAGCATGAAACTGGCTCTAATTGACTATCAAATGCGGAGGAGGGGTTTAGAGCAATACGAACCCAAAGGCGAGGCTGCACGCAACTGCACTCGCGGATCAGGATGGGCATCGTTGGGTTCAGAGCTTTCAAGTCAGCATAGTTCCTCTGAATAAATTTCCTGGCATCCATACAATAGAGGTTACAAACCAATGCTCTCACAATTTACTAAGCCATGGATGAGTAGCCTCAATCGAAGCATAAAAACCTACACTTCAGTGCACTGCAAGCTTGCCGTCAACCCAAAATCATTGTTATCCACACTCCCAGAGGTGAAACCCTAAATCCGAATTCAGAATGGTAGTAAACCGTTTTCATTGTTTAAGCGATCGGAAAACCAAGAATATTGGAGAAGGGATCCAGAAACAAGCTGCAAACCCAAGTGAAACAACATTAGAATGAGCCGTAGTGAGACCTAGTGACAGTGGACGCAGGCGAGGTCTGGCAGCAATGAATCCGAAGCTCTTGCGCCACCTGCGACAACCTCCCCCGCCAAGACATGGTGATCGCTTCTTCAATCTCTCTTCTAAACCCCCACAAACAGAAATCGATGACCCAACTCCACAAATCCTTCGCCGAACTACAAAAAGAAAATAATAATAAAAAAAAAAAAAAAAAAAAAAAAAAACGGGAATTCTCTGCAGCAGCGGTGAAGCCCACTCTGTCCTTTGAAGACAAGGGAGCACAAGCTGCCATTGTGATGGATGAAATTACTCCATCATCCATTCGTCCTATACTGTTTTTTTTTATCTATTTCAAAATTTCATGGATGTTGGAAAGCACTAATGAAATTAATTTTGATGTGCTTGTATGTGTCTATGTCCCACCCGCATTATTTGGGAACTTAGCCATAAATGCAAAGTAGTAGGAATAAGAAAATTCTAGTGAAAACAATCTCTTACATAGCATTGATGAGCGGAGATGAGTGAAGAGAATAGTTGAGTTGGTAAATGAGACATGTATGGCATTTAAAATGTGTTGGAGAATGCAAAGTGATATCCAATCCTATATATTAAAAAAGAAAAAGAAATAGCCTAAAATAAGTAAATAAATAAAAGATACAAATCACTAGAAAGAATCACAGTTATTTGGTATGACATATCTTGCAATTGTTTAAAAGGAATGTCTTGTAGATAAAAATCAGACAATGTTTATATTACATTATTGTCTTTTAATATAAATACATCACCATCATGCAAAAAACAAGTATGCAATTGTCTAAAGTTGATAGAAAAGATTTAAAAAAATCTTATCTATATTTATATCTTTCTTACTTTGCTTTTTACAATGTTTATACCCAATCATTTGGCAACTTCAAACACTTATGCAAGTCTTCAAGTTAGTTCACAGCCTCTTATTCAACCTTTTCAAAAAATAAGATTATATGCAAATCCTTGTGTTTTGTTTTTATTTTTATTATCTCCCATTCTATTCCTTAGATAAAACTTGAGTATTTGAACAAGTTCTTAAAGAAGTATTTGATTCCTCCTCTCAATCCTACTATTCAAAACACTTTTATTAGTTTTCAAGTTAGTCTCTAATTCTCCATTTCATTCTTTCTAAGACTCCATATGTCTTTGTTAATTTCTTCTACTAGTACTCAATTTTTCAATAAAATTCTTATTTTAAATCATTTTTGTTTTTTTTTAAATCTTGTAGTAGGTTCTAACTCTTTAGTTTCTTATTTTTTTTTTCCAATTTTACTATAACTATAAATTTCTAATTAGATTTTAAATAATAATGATAATTAATTATATTTTTTTTATTGATGTAATTCTTTTGATCTAACTATTTTTAAAGTTACTTTTAATATATATATATATATATATATATATATATATATATATATATATATATTAGTAATTCTAAGTTTGAAATTAAGTCATCTAATTAGATTTTGTTCTTTTATTTCATTATTGTTGCCACTAACAATTACTAGTCAAATTATTAAATTAGATATGAAATGCCACTTTAAATTTTAATATAGAAAAAAAAAAACCATATTATTTTAATTCTTTAATAATTTGAAATATAGAGTTATTACAAATTAATATTTTATATGTTAATCTATATAATATCAAAATTATAATTTAAAAATATCATATTATGCTTAAAATACCATGTGGTTATATATCAAAGACATGAATTTCAAAGAACCAAAATCTCAATATACTCTTCTATTATTCAAAAAAAATAAATATTTATTTAAAACTAATATGGTTTTAAAACTAGAATGGCTATTGCTTAAGACAATAAGACTAAAAAGTCTTGAAATAAGATTAAGGACTAAAAAAGCATTGGCAAGAATGAAGAAAGCTTTACTCTTGCTTTTGTATATACTATCAACTAAGAGCTATGTAGATACATCCTATAGGACTTCTAACATGTGTCCAATTTGCAAGACACATGTCTTAACTTACAAGGTAAGTTTCTTTTTTGTATGCTCTTATGATGTAACATAGCTAATAAAAGAAAGAAAGAAGAAAGCATTATATTATAGGAGATCTTATTTTAAAATATAATAGAAAATTATCTTTAAAATATAGATAATAGACAAAAAGATAGTAAAATTAAAAGATGTTAATGTTGTCCTTTTGTAAAATATGCTTCTACTTATTTTGTAGAACTATAAATAAGGCAAAATAAAGTAGATTAAAAAATTAAATAATATAGACATATGTAGGAAGGAGTTGAGAGTAGATTTTAGTAAATTTATCTTAAGAAGCTAAGAAATGATACCCAAAGAAGCCTAATTGTCAATCTAGGTCAAATCAGATGGTAAGGCACAAAACTATGACCTATGGTGACTCTAAGGTTCTAATATAGATCAAAGAGTGGAATTTCAGAGCAAACTTGATGAAAAAAATTTGGGCATGGATTCATGTCAGTTGAATCAATATTGAGTTTTTGGAGGATTTTCATAGTGATGTTCTTAGTTGATTTAGATTTAAAAAAATACAAATATGTATACAAATTTAAGAATTTCTTAAGTTTTGTAGTATATAGATAAGTGAATTTTGGGCAATGTGTTGGTGTACTAGTTATAAATGTGTGTGCAAATTTTGAGGTCAATTGAACAATTAGATCAAAGTGTGTGAAGGTTTTTGTAGGTTTTTGAAGGTCTTAAAAATTGGAGTTCGAGGGTTAGTGAGTATTTCTAAGTTCTTCAGTAATTTATCAATTGGATTGAAATTAAATATTTTTGTATGGATACTAGACTCAATTTTCAAAATTTTAGATGAAGTTTGGAAGCAATTTAATAGTTTAAGAAGGAAATATTAGTACTAAAAGTTTAGTATTTGGATTGAAGTAGGAGGCTGCTTAACACCTGATTGGATTATCTTGTATTTCTTTTAATTGGTAAGTAGAATTGATTTCATCTTTCTTGAGCTTGTTTTTAACTAAGATATTAAAAAGTATGCAAATTTTGAGTTGATATCAATGATTTGATCATTAATTGTTGAGGTTCCAATTTTCTATAGGAACTAGTTTAGGATTTGTTTATGATTTGATTAGCGCTTCAGATTTGGTCTAGGATTTGGTTAGAATTAGGATTTTCTTGAGATTTTGTTTAGAAGTTGTCTATATAGCTTTTAAGAAGCTTTTCATAAGATAATATTAAATCTACATACATTAATTTTTTATTTAGTATTTTTTATTTAGGTAAATTTGTATGTCTGTAATATTGTTCATCTTTCTAGGAATGAGTTCCACAAGGAATTGGCATCATATGTTGAAGAAGTCCACATTGTGGCAAATTGTGTTTGCCACATACTCTAATCTTTGTTTCTTTTGAAGGAGGTTGATAAGTTCTCTCAACCATCAATAATGTCTCATTTTAAGGCAAATAAACCACCCTATTATTTGGTTGTTGTTGAGGCTTTCATAACTTCCTTCAAATTAAATATTTGTAAGACTATCAAGAGTCATTTCTACCTCTAATAAAATTACCAAACATTTGGAATCTCTTACAAGGTTGTGATACCAAATATGTTGTATCTTGCCATCTATTTGAAGAAGAATTTATTTTTCTTAAAGATCTTCATTTCAATTATATTGTCTTGAAAGCTATGACAATTGCAATGTATTGTTTGATAAGACAAAAAATGATAGCTCTTGAGTTAAATCTAATGGTTTTTAGTATTCTATTTCCTTAGCACCACAAATATACATAAACTATAAATAAGAATAGAAGGTAAAATGTAATTTTTTTTGAACTGCATTTCTTTAAGAGCAAAGATTTGTTATTATTCATCTTGGTTTTAATGGATGACGTCAATAAAAATCATCAACCTTCTTTACTATATTTATAAAATTCATATAATTGAGTAATTCATAATAGCAATAGATATTATAAAAAAAATAAAACTTGATTGTTTCTTCACCAATGATAGATTTTGTACATAGTACAAAATGTGCCATCTTGATAAAATGATCTGTTATTATAAATATAGAATCATGCAAATCTAAGTTTGAAAGATTCTTAATAAAATCCTTACAAACAAAAGACCATGGTTGTTTCAAAATAAATAATGGTTGAAGAAGTCAATAAGGTGGATGATGAAGAGTTTTTAATTTTGAACAAACATCAGATGATTGTATAAAGTCTTTGACTACTTTTTATATTTGAGGACACCAAAAATTTCTCAATATTAGCTCCAAAGTCTTATGTAAAAAATACCCGATTGTTGAAAAATTACAATGAACTATCACGGACATAGAAATACAAGCTCGAGATCTAACAAGAAATTCAAGAAGAACACGCAAGAACTAGATTAATCAGATGAATACAAGAACAACACCACAGAGGTGAGTTAGAGCTCTAAGAGATGTGTTGTCGAGACTGAAGAACTCTTCAGCCTCGATTCCAATATATACTCCTATTTAAGAAGCTTCTCAAGCAACTTCCACCAACTAGAAAGCTTCTCAAGCGACTTTCACCAACTAGGAAGCTTCTCAAGCAACTTCCACCAACTAAGAAGCTTCTCAAGCAACTTCCACCAACTAGGAAGCTTCTCAAGTAACTTCCACCAACTAGGAAGCTTCTAGAAGGTTCCAGAGACTTGCTTCTAGAAGATTCTAGAAACTTGTCTCTAGAAGGTTCTAAGGACTATGTCCCTAACATCACCCCCTTGTTTAGCTTCGAGGTCTCTGAGAAGAAATATTATTGAAAATCAATATCAATGTAAGAAAATAAAAACCTGTGGAATAACGTCTGCTATAAACTCCAACTGTTGTTCACTAGGCAAGTGGTTCATCGGTCCTTGAAGCCAATAGTAGAGGCCCTCGCCTTCTACTTCTGACCAAGCATGAACTTCCGTGTCTTCATTGTGAAATTATCTTGCAAACAGGCCTTTTGGTTGACCATCATAAGCAGGCTCGAATTCAAATACAATCACCAGTGATCGATTACTCGATATCCTCCGTCGTCATCATGATATAGGCGGTTTTTCATGTTGGGGTTGCCTTCATGAGCTAGTCGATTGAGATAATCTGACTAGCATAGTATCTATCTCTTGGCTATCCATATCAGAAGGCTATTGAAAAAATTCTACTTTATCAACTATGAGTTTTGGTCGTGCTCTCTTTTTTTTTTGATATTCTTGAACGAGCA